CGTGCGCACGTCTATCCCGTGCAGGAGTGTACGGCGTGTATAACATATAGGGGGGTTGTACCAGGTCGTGTGCCACATCGTGTGCAGAGTCCGCATCTGCAGGAAACTGGTCTGCTCTAGGCACCAGGGCGCATCTCGAAACAAGAGTCGTGACGTCGAATGTCCCGGGAGGGCGGAAGGCGGGGCGCGCATGGCGGATGCTGACGCGGCCGAAATGACGGAGACTTCGACGTGGAGGCGGAGGCAGAGGCGCAGCAGGCGGGAGACGAGAGGAGGGAGGAGGAGGCAGGTGGGAGGCAGGGACCATTTTGCGCGCGGCATCTCGGAGCTCACAATTGCGAGGATGCCTCAAGCGAAGCAGACCGAACCACCTCGCGCGCAGCATCTCGGAGCTCAGAATTGCGAGGATGTCTCAAGCGAAACGCGCTGTACTACCGCTAACGCGGAATCTGGGAGCCCAGAGTTGCGAAGATGTCTCAGGCGAACCGGGCCAGACCACCTCGCGCGCGGCATCTCGGAGCCCAGAATTGCGAGGGTACCTCAAGCGGAATGCGCTGGACAACCTCTCGCGCGACATCTCGGAGCCCAGAATCGTGCGGATGTCTCAGGCGAAACCGACAGGATCACCTCGCACGCAGCATCTCGGAGCCCAGAGCTGCGAGGATGTCTCAGACGAAACGCGCTGGACCACTTCGCGCGCGGCACCTGGGCGCCTAGAGTCACGAGCATGTCTCAAGCGACACGGGCCAGACAGCCTCGCACGCGACATCTCGGAGCTCACAATTGCGAGGAAAGCGAAGCGCGCTGGACCACCTCTCGCGCGGCATCTCGGAACCAAGAGTTGTGAGGATGTCTCAGGCGAAACGGGACGGACCACCTCGCGCGCGGCATCTTGGAGTTCAGAATTGCGAGGATGTCTCAAGCGAAACGCGCCCGACCACTGCGCGCGGCATCTCAGAGCTCAGAGCTGCGAGGATGTCTCAGGCGAAACGTGCAGGACGACCTCGAGCGCGGCATCTCGAAGCCTAGAATCCTAGAATTGCGAGGATGTCTCAGGCGAGACGCCCAATCCTGGCAAACTCAATCGAGAGTTCTGAGGATGTCTCAGGCGCAACGGCCTGGACCACAAACTTTTCTTGATGCTGCCTCTGCTCGCCCATCTCTCGACTGTAATGAAATACGACCACAACAACATCCCGTTCAGAAAGCTGCTTGGTGCTACATACTTTTGAAAAATGGTGCATGGGAATATGTCATGAAATCGAAAGGTTCGCGGGGCCGCATCTCTAAAGAAGAGTCGTGACGTCAGATGTCCCGGGAGGGCGGAAGGCGGGGCGCGCATGGCGGATGCTGACGCGGCCGACATGACGGAGACTTCGACGTGGAGGCGGAGGCAGAGGCGCAGCAGGCGGGAGGCGAGAAGAGGGAGGGGAGGAGGCAGGTGGGAGGCAGGGGGAGGGAGGCGGGAGGAGGGATGAGCCAATGGACCATTTCGTGCGCGGCGTTCCCGAGCCCAGAATCGCGAGGATGTCTCAGGCGAAACGGGCCACACCACATCGCGCTCGGAGCTTAGAGTTGCGAGGATGTGTCAGGCGGCGCCCAGGCTCCTCCCAGAGCACAGCTCGAAAACAGAAGTGTAACCAAGTGGTTCGTCTGGGTCCGACCCTTCCTCTCTCAGAGGTGCCTCAAGCGAAACGTGCCGGACAACCTCTCGCGCGACATCTCGGAGCTCAGAGCTCGGAGCTCAGACGACCTGTGGCACAGCGTCTCGGAGCCCAGAGTTGCGAGGATGTCTCAGACGAAACTGGCTGGACCACCACGCGGCATCTCGGAACTCAGAGTTTCGAGGATGTCTCAAGCGGAAAACAAGCCAGACCACCTCTGGCGCGGCAGCTCGGAACCAAGAGTTGTGAGGATGTCCCAGGCGAGACGGGCCAGACCACCTCGGGCCAGGCATCCTGGAGTCCAAGTCTGACCGCTCGGTGGGAGCGGGCGCTGGACTGGCCGCGGACTAGCGGTATCCATGCCCTTGAGCCAAAATGGTTTGATCCAAAATGGCTACGGAGGAGGAGGAGGAGGGCCACGTCGGCGAGAAGAGCGTCGGCGAGCCAGAGGGACGGCGAGCCCGCGGCGACAACGACAAGCAGTTCGTGGACGCAGGCAGCAACGAGCCCGAAAAAGACAGCAAGTTCGAGGGCCACGAGTCCAAGGACACCCGACGGCGGCGCCGTGAAGGAAGGGGAACGACGATGAGGAACCGATCGAACCCGCCATCACATGGGAGAGCAGCCTGATCCCACCGTCTGTACGAAGGCCGTGGACAGTTTTCGAGGAAGACCTCGAGGAGAAGTTCGAAGACATCGAGGTCTCAAGCTCTAAACAAACTTCAACACATCTCTAAACCCAAACCTGCGAAAATCTCAAACTCCAAAAAAATTCAAACAACTCTAAGCCGAAACCTGGGAACATCGAAAAAAACAATTACCGGAACTCTAAACGAACTCTAAAAACAAACTTTAAACAAACTCGAAAACAACTCTACACGCCTCAGAACTCTAAATAAACTCTAAAATCTCTGAAACAACTCGACACGCGTAAACACTCAAACAAAAACCGAAAACAACTCTAAACAAACTCGGGGAAAACTCTAAAACGACTCTAAACAACAATTTCTGACCGCCTGGCGAACTCAAAAAACTCAGGAACAACTAAAACAACATCTACATGCAAAGTCCGGCATACATTGTAAGATGTTCGCAGGTTTGGGTTTTGAGATGTTTTTGAAGCGTTTTAGAGTTTAAGCTTTTCGCAGGGTTTGGCTTAAAGACGTTTTGAAGTTGCTTGTTAAGAGTTTGAGATGTTCGCAGGTTTTGGCTCAAAAATTAAAGTTTTTTTTAGAAATTGGGATTTCAGGAGGTTTTGGCTTAGAGATGTTTTGAAGTTGTTGGGGAGGTTGAGTTTCCTGCTGAAGAGTTTCCGAAGATTTCGGCTGGTTTTCTCGATTGACCTCCTGTAGTATAGTCGTCGCGACTTCGGAAACCCTGGAGATCCTGCGTGCGCGCGCCTGAACCAGGTGCAGGCCATGGGAGCACCTGCAGCCTTCGCCGCGCTCCCGATGGCCTCACAGACATCCTACACCGAAGTCTCGATCGTCGAGCTCTGGGCACAGGTGATGTTCCAATAATGGCACTCACGAGAAGGATGCGCCGCAGGCGGAGCCGTCGCCGCCGAGGCGTTGGGGCTCCCTCGACATCGCAGACAGGGCCGCATAGGTCCCCGACAACCCGAGCGCCGCGATCGCAGCAGACACGTTCTGGGCACCTCTCCTCACGAGCTGGGCCCATACCACGAGGAGGACCCAGACTACATACGCGCGGGCCGAGAGACCCAGACCACGAGGAAAAACAAAAGACGCTGAATAATCATACTGAACATGATAAGTAGAAGAAGAAGACGAACAAGAAAAATAAGAAGACGAAGAAAAAGCAGGTGTGCTTCACCGAGGACCCAGAGGCGCGTGCCTTCGAGGACGCGCCCAAGAGCCCAGAGACCACCTCAGAGGACCAGGACGGCGAGAGCGAGCAGGAGGACGACGAGGAGGACAGGCCCCACCGCACAAAGCCAGAGAACGCCGACGCACAGCCGCCCCTTCGCGGAGGACTCCGACGGCGACGACGAGGCCCTCCAGAACCCGCACCTGCCTGGTGCAGCAGACGAGGCACTGCATCGACGTCGCCCCCTCGGGCAGTGAGCGTGCCGCCCTCCTCAGCGGGAGGGGCAGGCGGCCACCGCAGGGGGCAGGGAGAGCCAGCTCGGCGGAGCCTGGCCCCGCCGCCGGGGCGGCACGGCTCGCCGTCCCGGAGGAGGTCGGAGGACCCTGTGAGGCCCCAGGCCCCGCCCTCCTCCCCCCTCTCTGGAGAGCCCCTCGGGCCCCTCCCTCCTTGCCCTTTGCGGGGCCCTTGGGGCGCGTCCTCCACTTGGGTCCTCGTCTCGTTTCGTGGGCCCTCCCACCCGCTGCTAGTCTCTCCGGTTATGGCCCCATGTGGCTCGAGGCCTCTCGGCTTCTCTCCTGCCTGGGGGGGGGGGGGGGGGGGGGGCCACGCACGTGCGTGATCCTTGGCCCCGCCTGCCACTGCCTCCGCTTTGCTACTGCGTGCTGGAGGTCGTCATCCCCTATGGGGGTGGTGGCGGGGGGGGCCAAAGGACCCTTGGCCTCGGGTGACGGCCCGCGCGGGCCCTGCGCTGTCGCGGCGCCCCCGCGGCCTGGCGCGGCCCCCGCCGTGCCTTCGCTCCGAGGCCCTCTGAGGCTGCTCTCTTTCGCTCCCTCCTGGCGGGGGCTTTCTCGGGATCCTGAAGCTTTCTCTCGAGGCTCCCCCCCCCCTACCGAGGCTGTCCGGAGGCCGCGGGGCGGGGTGGGTGTCCGTGCGTCGCGCCGCGCGGGCCGCGCGCGGCGCGGCGCGGGCTTCGCGGATAGACCGACGTGGCCCGCACTGCGCGAGGAGGAGGACGAGGAGGAGCAGGAGGAGCAGGAGGAGGAGGAGGAGGAGGAGGAGGAGGAGGAGGAGGAGGGGCCAGGAGACGGCAGCACGCACCATCGCGCTACGCGAGACAACAGGCCCACTCCGACGCACCTTGTTCCAACGACAAGCCATCTCCATCCAGACTAAGATCCACTACCTCGAGTCCTTCGGCTATTCAAGACTGCTATTTAACGCGGGGACATGGCTCATCACAACAGCGCGGGACTACCACAGGATCAACACAGCCTACGTCACTGCGGCTCGACAGGCAATAGGAATTACGCACAAGGCCATGAAGGACAAGCACATCACCAACGAGCAGATACTGGCACGTGCTCAACTACCGAACCTCGAAGACCGACTACGATGGCTACGACTGCGAGAACTTTTGCGACTCATAAAAGGATGCCCGTACGAAACGCAGGCACTCATTGACTACGACATCGAAGTCAACGGCACCTGGACGCAAACCATCAACAACGACATCCACACATGCCGACAGCACTGCGACGGCACCCGCATCACCACCGCACCCAAGGACATCATCGACTTCATCAAGGCTGCACGCAACGACATGCACACGGTCAAGTCTTTTATTACGAGCACCTACAAGCGCGCACAAGACTCATCCTCCGACCGAGCAGCGCAGGACCAGCTGCGGGCAGACCTATCGCTAACGGCAACAGCACTGGGAGTGCCGCCACTACCCCGACAAGCAGGAACCACGACACCAGCACCAGCCAAAGTTATGTGTTACCATTGCGGTGCTACATTCAAGACCAAAGCAGCACACAACAAGCATGTCTACGCTGTCCACCAGGACAAGCACACCATAGACAACTACATCGTCGGCGACACCTGCCAGGTATGCTTGAAGTACTTCTACACCGCGAACAGACTTACCAAACACGTCAAGGCGTCACACCAGTGTGCAGCCACACTGATGCAGTTCGGAGCGAAGCCGCCAACAGAAGACATCGACGCGCACAAGGAGGAGACCCGACGCTTACGACGATCCAACCGACACGCTGGGCTTCCAGAAGACTACGCCGAGCGGCCACCCATCCAGCTACATGGGCCAGCACTGGGACCACCAACCCACGCCGACCACGACCACCGACCAATACCAGCCCAACTACCCACCGACGCACCCACCACACAAGACAGCGGACCCAACCGAGCAGACACGGGGATGACCGACATCACAGGAAAGCCCAGCATCGTACTGCTCTTCACCGCCAACCACGACCACACCAGCGCGGTGACCGACGCCCTCCAAGCCACCGCAGACAGACACAGCATCTCCATCGAACTCCACCACCTGCCAACCATGCACCCACCCCAACCTGACCCAACGGCTTCCGACATGGCCACGACACCATACGACCACGCTGCCTTCTGCATCATCGACGCCGACCTCACGACCTTCGACCGCGACCTCAACCTCAGGACGCAAGAGGCACCTTGGGGACGACTGGATCTCACACCCGCGCAGCACAGAGCGGTACGACAAGACAACGACAGCATGAGGCACGTCCTACGGACCGCACAGCGGATGATGATGACGCGCACACCTACCATCATCTTGGACAGCAGCCTCCGACACCTGCAGCTACAGGAATACGCATACATCACAACGACGTGCAGCACAACCCCGACCACAGCATTCACTGCTTGCAACTGCCCTGCAGACATCACCACGACAACGACACTGACGCAGGCCATAGAGCAAACACTCCAGCCCACCGCCGACACATACACAAAGGCACAGACGTGGCACTATGATGGACATGATGGCAACGGCGACCACATCAGCACCGAACGCCGACCCAGCACCGACGATATGTGGCATGCTCGACTGCATCGTCATCCACAACAGCCAGGACCCGACTGCTGGATGTCAGAACGTCCAGGCGCGGTGCTCCTCGAGCCGCGACCTGGATACTCGTCGCCACAAGCCTCGAACTGCCTCGCTTCATCAACCACGTCAGAACGCACGACCGACCACACCACACGTCGTCAGACAACGGAAAACGCCATGCCCGTAACAGGGGCACAAGAAGAGCAACGGGGGCAACCACCACGCGATGGCGCCGTGTACGCACGCGAACGAGGCCAACCCCGAGGTGAACGCCCCCTCGAGGACGAGGGGGGGGAGATGCACATGCCCACCTAACAGAGCCCGCACGGGCGCTAGGACGGGTAGACTACCAGTCGCCCACAAGGGGCCTTCTCAGCGGCATCAGCCAGGCCTCGTTCGCGTCCTTCGATCTCGCCCTCTCCGATCGCCCAGGAGGCCCTCGTTTCTCGCTTTCCCCCTGGACGCGTTCGCCTGGTTCCGTTTTCCCTGGGCCCGCCTTCCTTCGCTCCGAAACTTAGAGGCTTCCTCTCCCTGGTGGCGGGTCCCTGGGCCAACATCGGTCGCTCGACTGGTTCGGCGTCGCGTCGCGCAGTAGCGCGCGGCGCGGCGCGGGCTGCGGCGGAACAGGACCGCCATGCCCGCAGTGTCGCAGGAGGAGGGGGAGGAGGCGTGTTTGCCACCAAGCTCCCCTGGAGGGTCCTCCATGCCGGCGCCCCTGCGGGGCCGCGGCAGCGCCCAGGGCCGTGGGGTGCCCGGCCGAACGCGGCAGCCGCCTTGGCAAGGGCCCGAGGCGGGTCTGGGGGGGTCGGCCCCTGGGGCCCAGGTCCCGGGCACCAGGCGTCCTGAGCAGAGACTGACTACCCACCAGACCACCCCAACCCCACCCGAAGGCCCGAGTTTGAGTCGAATTTCGGGTTGGGGGGGGGGACGGATTCCATGTGTTTTTTCAGTGTTCCCCGACCCCCCCCCCCACTGGAAATCGAGGATAAATTTGGGCCTTCGGGTTGGGTTGGGGTGGTTTGGTGGGTGGTGAGAGACGGGGGCGGAGGTCTTCTCCGCTGTCGGCCTTGGGGCTGGCACGCCCGCAGGACGGGCAAGAATGGGGGCGATGCCCGGCAGGGAACGTTGCCCCAAACCGACAGCGGCCGTGGCTGGGCAAGCGACGTCTGCCCAACCTGGACAACTCCACGGCGACACTGACAGTAGATCCTGTTCAGAACGTACAGGAACTACTGTCAGTCCTCGTCCCCACTCTTTATATCTACGCTGCGATTGAACCGACCAGGGGCCGTTTGTCGGGCCCTGGGGCCGTCAGAAAGCAATGCAGGCCGAAAAGCAAATCCCTGGGCGGACGCATCGAAAAAGCAACGAAGTCAGAGGTCTGGGCTCCCAAGTCACACCATGTCCCGGATGCATCGACGATGCAGGGGCGATGCGGGGAGAAGCCTGCGTCCCAGAACGCAGCGTATGCGGCGTGCCCTGTGAGCCCATGACGATGCCCCATTCACTCGGGCCCCTCTGTGAGCTCCCGACCACCTCGATCTGCCGTCCGCGAAGAGGCCGACCACAGAACGCTACAACGGGCTCCCGCGCCTGGAGATGCGGCCAGCAGGCAATCTAAACTGCTGCCGCCTCCGCTGGGAGCCCACAGACAGCTTGAGCCAAAATAGTTGTGGATTGCGTGCCCCTCGCAAGCTTTTATGGGGTTGAGAGTGATGAAGCGCCCCCAAAACAAAGCCAAAAGTTTCGATGATCTACCTGCGAGGGAAGCAGAATATACAATCGCAAATCGGCCCAGAATCTTCGATGCCCCACAAGGGTGCGAAGGTTGCGCTGCTGCACTCCGAAGTCCCAAAACGTATCGATATGCACTTTCTTTTCTGGGGCTTCGATTGCCGCCAGTATTGCCGCCAGTAGTGCAGTAGTGAGAGTGTTGAACACCGAGACCTGACGTTGTGCTCTGAAACTTCAATGGTCCGCAAACGTGTGAGGAGTACACTCTGAAACCACCCATCCTCCTACGGTTGGGAACGTTTGCCTGGTATGCCGCCACGGCGGCTCTGGCGACACGCTGTGCCTTGCGATAGCGTGTCGCTCTGCTCCGCGGGGCGGAACGCTCGGAAAACCTCGGGACGCTGAAACCTGGGGACTGGCCAATGGGTAGCGTGTCGCGCCGAAGCGTGGTGGACCAAAACCGGTGGAGCGACGCACTATCCCAAAATTACCGACCGTAAACATGCTTGCGCTGAGGGGTCCTTATCGTCGCGACATCCAGAAGATACTCATAGGGTCACGCCAACTGCTGGGAACACCAAAACGTATCAATACTGCTACTGCCTGGACCTCTCCCGGGGTGCGTTCTGACCCAGACTTTGAGGCGCATCCAGCGGTGGCGACGAGGGCCTCCGGGGAGGCCCGAGAAGGAGAAGACGAGGAAACGGTAGCGGTACAAGTGCCATTTCCTCCTCTGAACTGCCAGCAGGGCCCCGTCCCACCACCAATTACGTCCGCGCGCTGTGCCGGGTCAAGGCAAAAGTCCCAGCTCGCAGGGGCGCGAACCCCAGCAGGTACCTGACAACGGTGCCCCTGCGGGTCCCCGCAATCACCCACTGGGTCCCCGCGCTATCGCCCACTCTCGTCTCCTCGAGGACACCTGGCGCTTGGATTTCCTTCGATGCGCGGGCACCTCTCGATAAGACGAAGCCAGGACGAAGATAAAATCGGGTGAGGATAGATCGAGAATCTCTAAGATCCGGCGGCTCTGGAGGATGCCTCGGGCGCCGCAGCCTTCTCAGAGCGTTCTGGAACGCTCTGAGAGCGTTCCGGAACGCTCTGGAACGGACTTGTCCTTGCCCTGGCTTCGTCCGACTCGACACCTTCTCCAGTTAGGGTGTTTTTGCTGCTTGGCCCCTTCTCCGGGGGGTGCTCTTCGCCTCGAAGCATCTTGTGACGGCCCGAGGCCCGAAGTTGGCCTCCAGAGGCCAAAACATGGCGACGCACTGGCCGCCCCGATTCTTTCGAGGCGCCGGGTGTCTGGGTCGCTCGTGGGGCGTCCCGGTCCGCGCCCCAACCCCGCCCGCCCCCAGCCGTTGCCGCACGGCGCGCGCACCTGTGCCACTGCCAGAGCAATGCTCGCACTGAGCGCTGTCTGCTCTCGCTTGCCTGCGGCCCCCCCGCGCGGGCCTCCAATGATGGGCCTAGTTTCCACCACCACTACCATAGGTAGAAGAGGGAGGAGGAGGAGGAGGAGGAGGAGGAGGAGGAGGAGGAGGAGGAGGAAGGGGAGGAGGAGGAGGAGGAGGAGGAGGAGGAGGAGGAGGAGGACCTCATTATCCCTTCTCCCCCGTCCTACATGTGGTAGTGGTGGTGGAAAATTTGCCCCTCATCCAAGGTGCAGGCTCCGAGAGCTCCGGTGGTCGGCCAGTGTGCACGAGGGCTGCGCCACGAAGGAGAGGGGCCCTGAGGGAAACGAGTCCTAGACCGTAGGCGTCCACGGTGACAACGGAACCGAGACCCGACCAGATCGTGAAATCGAGGCCGACCGAAGTGGAAGACCGAATGCGGAACAGAAGGAGGCAGCGACGCACCAACCGACCAAACCGGGTAGACCGAATGCAACCGACTGCGTAACAGCCGGAGCGACCGAATCGCGGACACCCTTGCAGTACGACGCTGGAACCTTCCCCAAGACCAACTTGCCATCCAGAGTCATTTTTGAACGGTCCTGGGGCTCGTGGAGGGCCCCAGGCACCTGAACGCGGCGGAAAACTTCCGGGACCCCTATATGCTGAGGGGGGGGGCGCTCTGAGATACCCAGCCGTCGCATGACAAACGCACAGAATCCTGATCGCTGACGGCTGGCTGGTGCGTGCGGGGTGCATGGTTTGCTCATTGATGGGCGGCTCCTGCCGGCCGGACGCTGGACTCAGACCTCCGAAGCATTTTTTTTCGAGACGCGGCCCCTGGTGGGGTCGTCGTCGCCGTCGCCGTCGCCGTCGCCGTCGCCGTCGCCGTCGCCGTCGCCATCGCCGTCGCCGTCGTCGTCGTCGTCGTCGTCGCCGTCGTCGTCATCCCTGGACGTACCAAATAGGGTCTCTCCCTCGGCGCACCTCGCCTCCGGCGGAAGCCAGCGGAAGGCCAGCGGAAGCAAAGAGGCCACGAGTCCGCCAGCAGAAGGTCGGCGAAAGGCGGCGGAAGCACGAGAGAGACGTTAACGTTTCTGGGCTCAGCGTTTCTTGGGTCGGCGACTGCCTTTTTGTTGATGGCCCTGGAGCCTGACCGTGGCACCCCTGACGTCCGGCGCCGTGTTTTGTTCGCAACGTGGCTCCCCAAAGGCATGGACCCCTTCCCGGAGACCGGCCTTTGATTTTGGATATGTCTCAGCGGTCTTCAGGGGCCCAGTGAGGGCCTGCGGAGGCCAAACGCTGCGAGAAAAAACTCCGTCGCGATCTTCTCACGGCGCGAGGAGATCGGAGCCCGGGGGCGGAAAGCGGCGAACACGCCTGTCCTGATGGTTTGAATATGCTGGAGGTCTGGGACTCCAGGAACCTCTACGGTCCTGAGGCGCTTGAGGGCTACGCCCCTAAATCCAAGAAAGTCGCCTCTGGTATGCCAAGAAGCCCGGACTCGATGGCCCAGGCACGCAGGAAGGATACTCCCTCCTTGCTCCTTCCTCCTCCGCCTCGCTCCTCCTCCTCCTCCTCCTCCTCCTCCTCCTCCTCCTCATCCTCCTCTTCCTCCCTTCTTGTTTTACTTGTCGAGTTGTTGTCCTGACCCTCGGGGCTTCGCGGAGTTCTACACTGTTTGCCAGTGGGTGGCTGACTCATGACTGAAACCCAAAAGCCAAACATGCATGGGAAATGCTGTCCCTTGCCTCTGACAGTCCAAAACGCATGCCAAAACCGAGGACATCGGGTACTTGACCACGCTCGTGTGATCAAGGTGTCCGCTCATCAGTCTTTCGATGGCCTTTATGGTCTCAAGTTGTTTTCTGGCCGGCGGCACCACCCATACCGACACATTCGCGAAGCGAGGTGTGCGGATGCACTCTCGGGATTCACACGTCGAGACGCGAGCCCAGCAGGCCGAGCTGCTGACTCGGAGCCTTGCTGTATACCTCGGTAGGGTATGCCTTGCGCACTGCTTGTCTGAGCAGCCCACGCTGCCCTGGGCCACGAAGAGGGTCCGAGATCCTTGGCCGGTGGGCCCGGCTGAGGGCACTGCTCATCCTGGAGTGCACGACCCTGCCACCAACAGACATGGGTGCACGCATTGTTGGTCTTCCAGTAAGCGCCGATGGGAGCTGGCAGAGCAACCATGCCACATGGGACAGGTCCCGCTCTGCGGCGAGTGGGGCAATTTGAAGTCTGTCGCCAATGCGGAGCCCACTCGTCGACCAACGTATCCACCTCACTAGGACTTGCCTCAAGGAGCCTTCATCTGGAATTCAGAAATATTGACTCCAGCATTTGATGGACGGGCGACACCCTAGGGCAAGATCCATAAAAGGTGATATCCATCCTGTGGGAACTGCCTTTCAAGGTAACTATGTGCGAGTCCCTTTCCGGGATCCCTGATTCCTGTGTTTCCTCTTGTTCGTGTCTTCACTGTACGCGCCGGTCTCGTGGCGTGCCATACCCGGAATACCAGAATCCTCCCTCCCTCCTCCTCCTCCTCCTCCTCGCCCCCTCCCTCCCTCCTCCTCCTTCTCCTCCTCCTCCACCTCCTCCTCCTCCTCCTCCTACGCCTCTGTTTCCTCCCTCTTCTCCCTCTCCTCCTTTCTCTTCTCCTTCTCCGACTGTGACTCGAGTGGGGATGCTGTTGACGGGCTGCAGAGGTCGCCCTGCCTCGTCCAAAACTGCCTCTCAGATCAGGCGGATCTGTGAGGGCAAGCGCCCACACCTCAGGGCCACAACGAAGCATCTGCGCCCCAGTGAGCCCAGAGGGCTTGAACAGCTCGAGCAAAATCTACTTTTCTCAATCCTCCTGTGAGTTGGGTCCTTGTGTTGAATCCGCAGCGTCGCGCGTCTCCTCCTTCCTCCTCCTCCCTTCTCCCTCTCCCTCCCCTCCTCATCCTCCTCCTCCTCCTTGCTCTGCCTTACACATGTCCGTTTCGGTATGAGGCCGGCTGCCCTAGATGCCGGAGTGGCGCCTGCGCACGGCCCTCCCGTGCAGGGTCGAAGGGCGCGCCTCAAAGGCAAATGTCCTGAGAGCTTTCGGCCTGCTGGAGAGCGAACTCTCTCGGGTGAGAGCCCTGTTGGAAAGCTGACTATCGTCCCCCTGGAGAGTCGGAGGAGGCATCCGACTCGGAAGGGGTTTCTCCTTTAGGCCACCACCTGCGTTTGACCCGCTCCACAACCCTCGTCCTCGCCAACCTCTTTGATGTATGTGAGCTGCGTCGTGGCTGATATTTCAAACATTCGCCTCCTCCTCCTCCTCCTCCTCCTCCTCCTCCTCCTCCTCCTGAAGCCGCCCCGGCACGTAGATCCGACTGCCTCGTTGGCCGGCAGACGTGCGAGGGGGGCGCTCTGGAAGCATTGGTTCCCCAACCCTTTCAAAATTAGTTGTTTTGACAAATGCGTGGCCATTCCTTCTCCTCCAGTAAGAGCCAAAACAATTCCCCCCCATTTGTGCTCAACGTCGTGCTCCACTCCTCCCCCATAT